AGCGGCGGGACGCGGGCGGCCGGTTCCTGGCGCTCGGGGAGGGCGGGAGAGGAGTGAGGTGAAGGGGTAGACCTGCTCCTGCTGCATTCCGGTTGGGAATCCGTGCGGGGCCGCGCGCAGGGGTCCCGGCCGCCTCCCTCCCACCCGGCCTGCCGGGGTCGGAGCTGCCCCTGGGCCGGGCTCGCCCCCGGCCCCACAGGCGCGTGGCTGAGGGAGCCCTCAGCCCGGGCCTCGTGGAGGCCGGGGGTCGATATTCCCGCTCAGCCAGGGCACACCTGTGCCAGATCGTAAAGTCCAGCCGCGAATGCAACTTGTTCTGCTTTTGGTAATCTTACCTGGACTCAGCTGGAAAATAAGTGCTTTTTGTTCCTCCTGATCTGGCTGGAGTCACATGTGCAACCTCTGTACAACCTTCCCTGTCAGGAACATCCTGGATTCAAGCTTTGGCTCATGCTAGTTCTTGTGTCAGCATTGCCACTTCATCTAAATTAATTCTTTTGTTAAACTCGTTGCTCCAAACGTCCTTGCTCTTGTGAACTCTAGGATGGGATCCCGCTGAAGATTAAGACACCTACATATAGTCAGTAGAGATGCAGGTTTTCATTCAGTGGCTTAAATGTGTTGGCATGTGCTGGAGTTTTTTAGAAACAAATAGGGCTGGCAGGTACTGTGTGATCAACAGGCGATTCATGCTTTTCTGGAGAGCAGTTGAGCAGCAGGGTGGAGAAGCTGAAGTAACCAGAAGCTGGTTTTAGATACGTTTAGGACACTTAGTCAAGCCCTGTTCTCATGTAGTCAGTGTAGCAAAAAAGCTGTCCTTTTTCTTAAATCCATGCAAACTTAGCCTGTTCTGAAACTGTTTCCCTTGTTTCCTTGTTTGTCCTCTGTTTTGGAAGCTACTGTCTAATTTTTTTTCTTTTCATCCTTGATATTTATTCCTATCTCAGTTTTAGAGAGCAACTTCAATGAAGCTATTCAATTTTTTGTATCTTCACTCCATTTTGAATAGATACCTGAACAGATAGAGTGGACATATGCGCAGACCTGTTCAAACCTGATCTTACTGATCTGATAGAATGGGCCAACGTGTGGTTGTCTGTATGGGAAATAATTTGCCTGATATATATAATTATGCATTTGTTTTTTTGACAGCTGCATTACTTTGAATTCTCATACTATGTGATTGATTTGTTTGTTTCAGGTTGCTTCAGACTTACAGTTTCTTGGTATCTAACTGTACTCCTTGTTAGGCATGAAATGGTTACTTATTTACAAATATGTGTAATTTGAAGTGTTGAATTTCATTATACTGGCATTACTTCTGTTCTTTGGGTTATACTTTTTTTCCTTATTGATGCCACTTGTTTTTCTATTGACGATTCCACAATCCCAACTTTTACTTCATAAAACATTGAAGGTGAAGTGTAAAAATAAAAGAAAAAAATCTTTCCTCAAATATATTTATGGAAATAATTAATAGGGATTGTTCCCAAAATGAACTCTATTAAATATTTCCATGAATACATTTATGTTTGTGAACCTCCTTATAGGCCAAAAGCTCCTCTCTCAGTGCAACACAGTATTGCTTTTTTTGCTTCAGAAGGGTTTGTTTTCTATTTCCCGTGCTATTTTTCATCTCCTTTTGCTAACTTGATGTTTTCTCATGTAGCATTGTACTTATGCCCAGCATAACGTATTTGGCTGTGAATACTTTATATTTAAATGTATTTGGAGTGCTTTGTTTATTGTCTTTGACTTGATAACTTACAGATAGTCCTATCTGTGGATGAGATGTCTTTATTGCACTACCTAAATTTCCAAACTTTCTTTTTGGGTGTCAAGTTATGTTACATTTGACAAAGTCAGAATCCAGCTGGTGAGGTTACTTCAGTTCTCTCTCTACATGTTGTGCTTATCACTATAGACAAATGTACTATCTTTCCAGCAGTTTTAGAAACTGCAGACAAAGTAGTATCTTTGACTGAGGTGTTTTTCCACATCCTGCCATTAAAATCCAGCCTTCCCAGTGTTGGGACAATCAAGACCCTCGGTCTTCCTTGACTAGTCCTTGTCTGAAAGGTAGACTGTAATTAATATTACAGCTTTATCTAGCTGATTCAGGCTACTACTATTTTTAAGAACTGTTTCCAGTCTTTACCATCAGCTGGATTTTTCTTCATATGCCTCTGCTGCTTTTAAGCTGGGGCAAGCATTCCTGTTAATATATGAACTATTATTTTGTCATCCTCATGTTTCCTTATGCCCTACCTCTTCTCTGTTACATGTAATTCCTAGTTTGTTGGCTGTGCAGGGAGGTGATGATCTTTGACTAATCTACTTTACTCGTTTTATTCCCTTGCTACTTTTAAATGTATATAAAACCAGAACTAAATACATATTTCTCCAGTTAACTAAAGGGTGACAATTCTTTATTATATTGATTTGCTCATACCCTGTATGCCTTTCCCTTTTTATTTGATTTTTTTTGATTCTGCCTGGTGTAAAAATGTCTGTATAGTGGCTTACGTAGTATTTGATGAAGTTCCTTAAGTCTGTCATAATTACACCATTATCCTGAGCTAGAATGTCTGTTTGGCTTTTATGTCAATTCCTGTTCATTTTCCTCCTTTATTTATATGACAGCAAATGATAATTAAAACATTTTGTTTTCCAGATCACTCTGTTTCTTGTTTCTGCTCCTCAAATGAGGCATGCATGTTTAGGTGACTAACTACGGGAATATCAAAATGCCTAATCTTCAACATCCAGCGTACCCAGCAGCTGCACTACTTCAATTGGAAAGTTTGGTGCCTTGTCGAGAATCCCAAGTGTCCATGTTGCTGTCAATATTTGGGGAGGTAGTGCTTTTTCTGTTTTATGTTTGAGTAGAACAAAGGCATTCTGCTGTTTCAGATAGGAGAGTGGAAATTTAAGGGCATGTTTGTGATGTCATTGGTGTTTTTTGTTACTCATTTTTAACACTAGTGTTTGGCAGATAGATACTAATAAATTTGAAGGTTGAAAGCTGTTCTGCAACTGGAAAGACCCAAACAAACTTACAGCTGTTTGTGCCTTTCTGTCTCTGAAGCCTGTTTTCTCCATGACTCTGTTCCGTCTTTGCCAGTTAGTACCAGGAAGTAAATCCATCTTCTTCCCTGGTCTAAAGTTCTGCAGGATTTTGTTTTCAGTTGCAGTGTAGAAATTCTGTTTGGTTTTGAGCTGTTAATCTAATATCTATGTGCCTGAGTTCTAAGTATATGAAATTGGTCTAATTCTTAGTAGCTCTGTTGCTGGCCTAAGATTTGGTAATCACAGGCTTGTTAATTGATTCTGTCACAGCTTGGCAAAGCTGTGGTAAAAAGTAATGGAGATTTTTATCTGCAAACTTAAAAGCAGTTGATATATTTACATTAAGCAAACAAAATGGAAATTAGTATCTGTTTCTGGTTCTGCCTTTAATTATAGGTAATAGTAATTACATCAAATAAAAGCTTTTAAGTTTTATGTATTTGTTACAAGCATAGTGGCAAAAAGTCTTGAAAAACACAGATACTTAAATTCTTGTTAAATATGCAGATTAGAGTATTTTCATATCTTGCACAGGAGTGCATTCGTCTTGGATTAATCAAATATCATTAAATATTATATTAAAACAAATATCATTGTTTTTTGTAAGAAGTGTTTGTCAAATTTATTTTTGTATTCATTTTTTAAGTCAGTGTACAAAATTCTTAGAAATGAGAAAACCACAAAAATAAATACATGTTCAGAATGAAATAAAAAGAACAATTATTTTCCTTGCATCTTAAAAAAAAAATCCGTGAAATATACAGCATCAGTACCATTAAATAAATACAGATATTATATCGAATATTGCCTTGTTTGATGCTAATGGAAAGAAAAGCAGTTTGTAGTGTTTGTAGAAGTTAGGCTGATGTAAAGCTTGCAGTTTGTGCTTGCGAAGATTTTATTGCAGTTAATTAACTAATTTGAATTAAAAGCCTACTGCTTTTCTCATGGTGTGTGCTTTTGTTGTTTGTTTGTTTGGGCTGTTTTTTTGGTGTGTTTTTTTTTTTTTTTCTTTGTTTGTTTCTTTCCTTTTTCCCGTGAAAAATGTATCCTCATGTTATAGCAGTTTCACTGGTAGCTTTATGTTGATACTTGATTCTTGGGACATCGTAGCATTTCTGTGAAGAAGAAACATAAAACTTGATCACATTGATTCCATAATAATTGGTGTATTTTTATATTTAATGCCTCAATTTAAAAGATAGCTTTTCTTTTGGAGGGAAACTGCATCGATAAATCTTTTATCTGTTGAATGAAAAAGAAGAATTGAAACAGCAACAACTTTTTTTTTTCCTAGCGTCAGCAGTTTAGTTTTCCATCCATCTTCATCTACGGACATACATCTAGTGGAAAGACCTATGTGATGCAAACTCTTCTAAACACCTTACAGGTAAGAATGTTCACAATGGATATTGACTTCAGAACTTATTTGTAATAGATGGTCTCTCAAACTAGCTTCTGCTTTCTCAAAATGGTTTGTTTCCTCAGCCAGTTCTGTCTTGATTCTTCTTCTCCACTTAGCGTGTGGTGAACACATCGCTCTTCTCACTAGTGCACTCAGAATAAAATGAAATTGTAAATACTGAGATATAATATAAATCATAATAACTTCTCTAAGGAAGTTTAAAAAGAAAAAAAAGGAGCCAAATTTTGTGCAGCTCTCTAAAAGGGACTTAACCTGAAATAGCTCCAGTGCCAAATAAGTACTCTTATGATGATTCCAGTTCAATCTGAGAGTCAATTATACTGTACTTTTTTTGAATCTTCTTGTAATTCTCTTTTAAACTAGTTTTTCTTTTATATGACGAGGGAGTCTATGAAGAACAGTGAGAAGAGCTTGCAGTAGTGGAATTTTGTTTGTTTTGTGTTAACAAATTCATTTTAATTACATTGAGCTGGATGTGTATGATCTATTTAAATGTTAGCCGAAGAGCTTAAACTTAGTAAAGTTATTAAAAGCATTCAAAGCAAATATACAAGCTAAACATAGTTGCTGAAAAAAAAATAGTCTGAAGTGGTGAAAATCACTGGCTGAATACCAGGCAATTGCCGTTCTTCCTGATACTGAAAGTTGTTTTTGCAGACTTGGGGAGAATGTTGTGTTCGCTGCTGCAGATCTGTTTAGTTCCAATCATCCTTCTTGTAGAAGCAGGAAAGTCTGTCTTTCACTTTGAAAAAGAAACAATGCAGGAGTTCTAAAACGTTGCAGCAATGTTGCATAGGAACAACTGATTTAATTCCTGCACAATAAATAATTATTCTTTTGCTTAATGAATAGCTCTAAATGGGAAAAAGTGTATTGATAGCACTTTTTAGTGTTATATTTTCGGAATCTGTTTGAAAATACAAATTTTGTGCACTTTAATTTTTTCTGGATCCTCCAAACACAGCTTGATATGCATCATAAGTTAAAAACCCCAAGAAACAGGATGCCATTCACAGTTTCTAATGTAGTAAAATTAATTCTTCAGGTGTGTTTGTGTTTACTAAGCTTGGCATTGCCAGGTCTTTTGCTGGTGGGATGGATTTTATTATTCCATGCCAGTACTGTTGCTGTTTCCTCTGGTATGAGCATAACTTTCAGAAATGTTAGGACTGTATGCTCTTTTTCAGCTTCACCATCTAACATAAACTTCCTTTGGATTCCTGCTCTTGGAAAACAGATAAGACAGATGTTGTTGGAATACGTGAAATGGAAACTACTGAGAATTCATTGTAGAGTTTTGAATTTGGAGCCTTACGTTCCTTGGAAGCTGAGACTACAAACTCTCTTCCCCTCAACTGTTAAGGAAAAAACCTACTTTAATATCCTGTAGGAGATGGATTATATCCTCAGTGATTAATACTGGAGTTGCTATATGTTTCCAACCTGAAGTAGGAACTTTGTCAGGAATGGACTTATTTCGGTTGCAAGGACTGCACGCAGAAAAACCTCGTCTGTAAACATCATGAGAGAATCTGAACTAATTAGAAGTAGTGGGCAACTGTGACTGATTGCATGTTTCTTACAAAAATAGTTGTCTTTAAGAATGGTGTGGAGAGGCATGGCCTGAAGTCCATTGCGGTCCCTCTCTGGTCAGCGCTTGCAGAAGACTTTCGAGTACTAGGTTCTTGCCACTTTTGTGGCCTTTCTTTTTCTACTAGCAGATGTGCATATTCATGCTAGTTTTATTCCTTGTTCTAATTTTTCCCAAAACAGGTTTTAAAGTCCTCCTAAGTTGAAGGGTGTCATCACAGAAATTTCCATCTAAACCTGTTAGTGCCTGTGTTTTTGTCAGTCATGTACTTCTGGGATTTAAATCCAATGACAAGTGCCTACTTCATGCCCAAACTGTAAATTTCCACTTGTGTGTTCTCATAGTCCTGAAATTTTAGACATGCCGAGAGTGCACTTGTCCCTTATCTGCAGGACGGGGTTTTATGCAAAACATAGTGCTCTTGTCCCTTTCATTAAAAACTCTATGGAGAGAGAGAGGTGGAAGGCAGTCGTTGTGATCCTCTTTCATGCAGTAGCCTTTTGTGCAATGCTCCTAACACTGTACTACCCACTTGCACCATATCCAAAGATGTGATCAGACCCTGGAAAGGAAGAGGAGTTAAGCAGCAACTCTTTCTACAGAGCTTCTTATTGCCAAATATAGGTGTCTCCTACATAATGGGGTGTTGTGAATCATTCTGAGGTGCCCAGCTTTCCTTCTGCTATAGACGTGCAGCACTTTGAATAGGTGCTTTTGGGGATGTAGCCCCTTTCTTTTAACAGTGTTCAAAATCATAAGAAAGCTTTTTATTGCATACTGTTTGAGTGGATTGCCAGCACATACCCACACTTTCCCACATCTGCTGAATCATAGGCCGTATATTGTATTTTAAGTAGAAAGACTGGAAAGTGCTTATTTTTTTTTTGTGATACACATACACGCTTCCTGTATCAAAAGTTTAGTTTTGCAAGTAATGCATATGTATCTCAATGACTAACGTTTTCCAGAGGTTTCAATGTTCAGCATAAAAAAGAACATATGCCTTCCCAGAGAGTACAGAGCTATTCAAATAATCTATTTCTTAAAAATAGAGTTGCTAGAAAATTACCTTTTTTGCCTTATGTAGGCTTGCATACTGGTACGATTTTGCAGTCTGTAGTGTCTTTTATTTAAAGACAAATGACGTTAACTTTTCAATATTACTAAATTGATACTTACAAGTATATTATATGGCAATCCATAAAATGTACTTGTGTCTCATGTTGCGTATTTTTCACATTTTCTTTACTCTGAAAAGATGTGGTTTTCTAAAATGTTCTGCACAAGCAAACTGATTACATGTGTCTGATAGAGCAGCTTACGCTTTATCTTTTCTATGAAGTGAATGGCAAAAACATTCAGAATAATTTTGAGGAGTGTGCTTCTAGATTGCTTTTTGTAATATACATTTGAGAAGTTCACGTTATCTGGACACTGTAATTTGTAATGGACTATTTTATGATACTGTAACGTGTTACAATTGTCGAGCTTTTCTTTGATCTTAATGCTATTTAGTTTTCTTTTTGTGTATTGCTCATAATTTTTAAACATAGAATATACACTATGTTTCATATGAGGATTCATCAAATCTCTCTTTGTGGTATGTAATATTTTGACTAGATACATAAGTGATCATTCTTTTTAGGCAAGGTTTTTTGGTTTATGTTCTATATTCTGGTGGCAGGGTGTGGTTTCTTTCATTGTCTCATCTGGGAGGGAAAACTGATTTTTGAAGTATTTATATTGAAAAAGCCAAATAGAGTTGTATCTTTTTTTTATCATCCTCAGCTTCCTCATGTGTTTGTGAACTGTGTGGAATACTTTACTTCACGACTTCTTTTAGAAGAAATTCTCATCCAGTTGCAAAGCTGTTCTTCTGAGACAGAACAGGCTTCCCATGTGCCTTGTGATAATTTCAATGACTTTGTACGTCTGTTTAAACAAGCTGTTGCGAGTCGAGAGCTTCAAGATCAAACAGTATACATTGTAAGTAATTTAATTTTCGGTTAAGGGGGTGCGAGTAATTGTTATCGATAATTTGTATGTGAGATGTGTGCATTATAGATCAGTTTTCACAAAATTTTCCCGTGGACCTAATTCAGAGTCTGTTAATACTGTTTAGATTCTTACTGTTGGTTTACTGGCTTTAGATGAGGTTCTATATTTTTCCTGGTTTTAGATTTTTTTTCTACACAAAAGCTGTATAGCATAACTAATAATGAATGTAAATTGTACTGCATAGTTAAATTAGGTATGTAATAATATTACAAAATCTTTAAATATAGAGAGCCTGTATTCGTTTTATAATTAGTAAGTCAGATTTATCTCTTTCCTTGTGAAGATAGAAATGAGAAAGCAAAAGTGGGAAGGAGGGCAGAGGTGAATCATGGAGCACGCAAATGCCAAGAATTGGTTGACTAGAATAGGTTCAAGTTAGAAGTGATATTAAGGAACTAAAGTGCATAATTTCCTCTGCAAAAGTGCTGTTGAGGTCTTACATCTTCAATTACACTGTGGCCCTCAGAGACAAGACCCGTAGTTTTAAAATTAAGATGGAAAAAAAGATGGCAGTGAAAAACTTGATGATATACTGAAATGGAATAAACAGGCAGACCTCAGGAAAAATAATCAGAATTTAGATCATAGGAGTGATTGAATCGATGTAGGACTAGAACACTAGGTTTTGTTGTTGGTTGTTTTTCGTCGTGTTTTTTTTTCCCTATGATAATCTTAACTACATAAAGGAGTCAATGTAGACAGACATCTGTAACAGCATTTATCGTGCTAAGAGATGAACATAGAAACAAATTTCAGGCATACAGGAGGTCTGAAGAAAGGACAAACCCCTCAAAACTACTTTTTTTCCTAGCTCTCACTTAGTTGAACAACATCTATTATCTTAAAAATGTGAACACCATAGAATTAGTGATGTGTAACTCTGTATGTGCATTGTGGACCTGTAAGAGATGGACTGAAATTTCAGCCCAGCAGTAGGAATTACGGATTTTTTAAAAGAGGTCAAATTGATTATTTAAGAAAACAAGAAAGTGGTTCAAGATTGAAAGCTTACTGACCCTGGGTAATAGCTCTGCATGTTTCTCGCAGCAATCAGCAGACCTACTGCTTTGATTTTTTTTTTGCAGTTGAACAAGAAGTTCATAATTACATTGAACATTCTTCATTCTGTTTCTCAGGTTATAGTTAAATAAGTTTTATTTCCTTTTAAAAGTACTTAACTACTGAGCTAAATAACTTCATATTATGTTTAGTGGAAACAATATTTCTCAGTTTCCTGCAGCTCATGAGGTTAATAAATTTGACATACTTCTTAAAAATTGAAGAAAAAAATGTACCAGTACTTAACAATAGATAAGAAGTTATACATAGATAATTAATTTTAATTTACTGTCACAGAAGTGATATTGGCATCCTTCAACAATTCCATAAGAACAAAATTTAGCACTGAAATAACCTTTAGGGCATTTCACAAAATACTTCATACAGTAAAATTTTGCTTTCAGATTAATATTTGAATTAAGAAACTATTCCACATCAGTAAAGAATGCTTCATGCATTATATGAAAATTAGTATCACTCAGAAAATTAAAAAGTTCTTGATCAATGGTTGTAGAAAGCAAACCGTTAAATACCTAGAAAGGTTCAATTGTATCAGGTAAATAGTTGCTGAATCAGAAGAATTATGTATTAAATTAACATTTCAGTTCCATTCTGCGTGGGAACAGACAGGAGTGGGAGAAATAAATTCATGTATATTTACCTGTGTCATCTGGATTTATAGTAGAGTGGTTTAAATTGAGACTGATGGAAGACCAGCATGCTGGTAGCATAAACTGTCAATGCTAATTTATTGTATTTCATTTCAGTAGTAAATAATGTAATATTTCAGCCCAATTAACTCAGAGCAAATTGAGATAAATGTTTACTTTCAAGCAAAGGATTCTAAATGTTTCTCTTAACCCGAGCACGGGTGCTGAATGCTTGTGATTACTTGTGAATAATGAATTTATCCATTCTAACTACCTGAAAAATTGGAACTGATATAACTTATAGTCATTCATGCATTTACAATACTTAGCACTTTACAGAAGTAACAAGCTGCTGTTTTTAATGTAAGTCAGCAGACAGTTCTAAAATGTGTAGTTTTTAGAAAAAGCTGAAGGGTGACGAATCTGTATCAAAACTAAAGAATAAGGCGTGGATTTAAAGGCCTGTGGATAAGCTGTTTCTGTGAACCACCTGGCATATTCCACAAGCCAGTGTCACAGTATGTTTTCTCTGCTGTAAGTAGAAACTCTAGTTTGTTTCTCACGTAACTAACAAGTAAGATGTACTTAGGTCAAGGCCTGAAAGCTCTCTGTCTGATAGCTGCATGTCACTAGGTCCAGCAAGCAGTATTTTATGAGTAAAAATACATAGCCTCTGTTTGGTCAGTAATGTAAAGCAGTCTTCGTCCCTGAAGTTTTTTACTATATGAACTAAATGCAGATGACAATATAAAATCATATGTTGTATTGTAGTTTTAAATACATTCCCAAGAAACATGAGCTATTATTGCAGAAATACTGCACTTTGAGTTTTTTTTACCTTACAGCGTGATTTTGAAATACTGTTTTCATAAAATGTTTCTTGATTGTCCACATAAAATTCTTCTTACTGTGGGCAACAGAAATGATAGATGTCTTAATGTTTTGGTGTGGGGAGAAAATGTAAAAGGATAGAAAAATACAATTTTCTAGGGACCTATAGTTTCTCTATCAACAGCAGTAATTCAAAAGAAATAATGAGCTTCAGAATTTAGATTTATATTGCGAGTAGTAAATAAAACACAAACGAAATGTTTCTATTATCTTTTTTCATTCCTGTCAAGATTTTAAGTGCACTGGGAATATGATATTTTTTTTTGCCAAAAGATAGCCATGCATGTTTTCATGCTCCTAGGTTTTTTCTCCCTCTAGACTCCAAAATATGTTAGTTGTTTAGATAAAGCGTTTCCAGTTTAAGCTGTACATATGCTATATATTTGTTAGTGCTGTGCAAGGTTTGCATACAATACCATAAATCCTGTAAATTTCTAGGCTGCAAACTATGGCAAGAAAAATTTCTCTCAAAATTCAGTTGCGTGAATTCCAGATGATAGCTAACTTTTTGAAAATATCAGCTCTTATTTCTGAAAAATAATTTCATAGTGAGAAAAGATAGCTCTCCTACAGTAAGCATGTTGATATAGTGCTGCAGTACTACACATAATTTTTTAATGTAAGAAGAATTTTGGACAAAAATTGAGGTTTCAATGGTTGTTAATGATATCATGGCTTTGTCAGTGATAGTCTTGACTGATATTCTGTTTTAATACTTACTGCCTTAAGGCGTGAGAACACTGCTTGTCTGGGGATCGTATCTGTTTTTAGGTGGTGGAGCTGCTTGGGATTCCTGGAAGTACACCTTCAGCGATAATCTCTCTGACGTTGCTTGTTTAAGGGATCTTGATACTTAAGTGTTTTCTGCTGTCTAAGAGCCATTGGTGAAATAAGTCTCCAGCAGCTAAGAATTAATTTCAAGTCCATGTGAGAATAAAAGGTGACATTGTCTATATAATAAGATAATTCTTTTGTTAAAAGGTACTGGATAGAGCAGAGCAGCTGAGGGAAATGGAAGCAAACATCCTGCCAGTGTTTCTTAGGCTTCAAGAGTTGGTAAGTGTCTGCAAAAAAAATAAATGTGTGTCCTGCGTAGTGAAAGCAACTGAATGTGGTATCTGTTCATGTAGGCTTACTGATCAAGATAAGAGGTTCTTTAGATGAGAAAAGTTTCAAAATTAATCCCCTCCCTCCCCTCAGACTATAAACCAAACTAGAATTTAAACATTGGCAGGTTTTTCTTACACTCTTTATTTTTTTTTTAATTCTTTTTAATAGTATCTTGGTTTATGATATCTGATCTATTGTAAATTCTTTTGAGGCTGGTGTCAGACACATAGCTGTCTCTTCTAGAATATTTTTGTTTCTAAAAAGAATGTGAAATTTTTCTACTCTTCATTGAAAATTTTGTAATAATTGCAGGAAAAAAAATCTCAAGTAGACTATAATCTATGAGGAGAAGCTTCAACATAGCTCCTCTTGGCTAGGTACAAATAAATAAATAAAACCTCTTTTAGAGTTTGTCAGATGTTTGTGTGGGAATCCAAAGTCTCCTTTTGAGTCAGCTGCTGATTCAGAGAGCTCAACCATATTTAGTGAATTCAGCATTGGAAGCGTGAATTTGCAACTCAAGAAATGTTTATCTTCTAAAGTTTCTCCCGTGTGAAACTTCACAACATTGCATGGTGGCTGGCTTGAGGATGGTCAGTAGGGCATCAGCTATTTAGTTGCGACTGGAGCTGCACAGCTCAGCAGCTGCTAACGTGATTTATGATGGCAGAGAGTTTTTACGCTCCTGCTGGAATTGTGCCACAGTATGTGTCTGATTGGAGTAAACCGCTGTATCTTTCCCTCTCTCACTGCTGAGGTATCAAAGCTTAGGCCTTGGCATAAAGAAAAATGGTGCATTCTCTGAAAAGGAGCTGAAGGCAAAATCAGAGGGTGGTGGTACTTTGAAATGTCTGAACATCTAAATAGTCTTGTTATCTCAAGACTTTTGTGTGGACTCTTAATCTTTTGGTGACATTGATTTCTCTACTGAATGAAGACTGATTCACAGCTGTGTTCTTAATCCTGGCAGCTGGTGCATTTTCTGGCTCTTTTTGTCTGTTCTGCCCATGTTCTGGATTTTGGTGCCCCTGAAGCAGGAAGAAGCTATCTGACAGAGAGAAAGGAGGAAAACTTAGGCCTATGATTGTTGTTCAGGGACCAAAAAGCCATAGGCTAAGACTTAAATATGCTAGGGAAACACTCTCAAATTCAAAAGTAACCTCCAAATTAGTTTGTCAACTTTCCTAAATGCTGAGATTCCAGTTACTTAAATTCTGGATTAGGAACTGAGGCTTTGTTAAACTGTTGTGCACCTGAGCAGTTACTTAAATTCTGGATTTGGGACTGAGGCTTTGTTAAACTGTTGTGCACCTGATGCTGCAGAGAAGTGTTGTAGGAGCAAATCTACTACAGCACTTCCTTTCCTGGAGCGAAAGGAGACCAGAAACTTCATTAGTGGTGGAAGATTATGGGCCTGGGGGATTGTTGTCAAAGAATGGGTCATAGGATGCTTGATTTCTGATGATGGGAAGCACTGAAGTTTTTCGTACTGGAAGGTCTGTCGGGAACTGAACTGAAAATACCTTACTTTTATCAGCTAAAGTACTAGGAAATCTGGCCACAATTGAAAGAAATTTACGGAAAGATGCTCTCTTGTTAAAAGAAAAAAAAGTTCCAAAAAATGGAGAAAGAAGAAACAGTAAAGAATATGTGTGGGTGGGTGCTGCTTTGGCAAGAAGTAGAAAGAGTAACTAAAAGAAGATTCTTCCTGAACTTCAGGGAAGAGGGAATAGCATTTAAACTTTTCTTTCAAGTCATTCACAGCTCCTGTTAAGCATTGTCAGTTCAATCAGGTTACTTCCTTTTATTTTCTAGAAGTGCCTCAATAGTTTTGAAATGTCTCTCTTGAAGAACCATATTTAAAAGCATCTTTTGTTATGCAGAATTTTTAATATGGTTGCAAAAACCTTGTGAAAAGGAAGAATGAGGCATCATCTTCACAGGTAGTTATCTTCATATTAAAAAGCTGATATATTGAAGAATGACCAAAATAAGGAATTTTTTTTTAATATGAAATGTTTTGTTATTTATTGACCAAAACATCAAACTCAAGACAAGTATATTGTCCATAAAAACTTGGTTAAAAACAATATGTTACTGCATACAGCTGTTGTTGATAACTAGTAAAACAGTTGATAGAGTACACCATTAATACTATGCTTTTGTTTTGGATGTTTTTTGTTTGTTTTTAAAGACTGACTTTAAAATAAAGTACTAGATAGCCTGGTTTCAGAAAGCACTGAGCTTTCTTTTGCTTTTGGTACTCTTCCTGTTCATTCTGAAAGTCTGGGTTTAATTACCAAAGTAAAATGCTGTCTTAATTTTGAGAGTAAGAGGTGGAATCTAGTTGATATTGTCTAGTACCAGAGCTCTATCACCACACAAAGCATGTTGGTGAAATGTCAAGGGATGCAGAGAAAGGTCATATAGTTAGGAAGATCTGCAAATGTAGGACCTTCTTGATTAGGCCAGCTGAAGCTTTATTACTATGCTAGTAATTTTATTAAACTGTAAATTCTATGATTTTTGTGGAACAGAAAAGTCACAATAATAACTTTTCTCATTAATATGGTAACATGAAGTGTTAACTTATTTTCTTTCTCTGCCTGTCACTCTTTTTTTTTTTTTTCTCTTCCCTTTGTAGACTGACAGAAATGTGACAGTTGTCCTGCTCAGTGAAATAGTATGGGAACTGTTCCGTCCAAATACTGGATGCTTTGAGCCATTCACCTTGTATTTTCCTGATTACAGCATAGGTAAACTGATTCTTTAACCTGCTTTTCAGGGATTGAATAATACTTTGTTAAACATCATCCAAATGTTTTTTCCATGTTTATCAGTATGCCTATTACAGAATCCAGAATGTAAAAGTGTATATTCACACAACCTCTAAAAGACTTGTCTTTTTCCACTTGCCAAAATGTCTCGAAGTAACGTTTTGGTTCCATTGTATTTTCTGGTTTTTTTTTAATCAGTGTAGTTTTTTTGTGGATTTTGATTTTTTTTAGTAATGATTATAGTTTGTTTTTCCGTTTAACTTGTAAAATGTGGTCAGTTTATTAAGTTAAATTTAAATAAGTAAAACTTATTTTTGTTTAAACAGGGCACCTGCAGAAGATCCTGTCTCAGAATCATCCCCCAGAATATTCTGCAGATTTCTATGCTGCATATATCAATATTCTGCTTGGTGTCTTCTACATGGTCTGTAGGGATCTGAAAGAACTTCAGCATCTGGTGAGATGAGCTCCTTTAGAGTTGTTTTGGTTTGGAGTGTTTTTTGCCAAATAAGCTCTGAAAGTGTAGATTTATTGTTGAATGTTGGATAAAGAGAAAATCATAAAATTCATAGAATAGTTTAGGCTGGAAGTGACCTTTAAAGGTCACCTAGTCCCACCCCCATGCAATGTGCAGGGACATCTTCAGCAAGGACATCTTCAACTAGATGCTGTTGCTCAGAGCCCTGTCCAACCTGACTGTGAATATTTCCAGGGTTGGGGCATCTACCACCTTTCTGGGCAACCTGTTCAAGTTTCACCACCCTTATTGTAAAAAATTTGTTCCTTATATCTAGTCTCAATCTACCCTCTTAAGAATGCCTTAGCTCAAAATGCAGTTTCCCTAAAAATCCGTAACAAAGGTTGGGTTGTTTTGGTGGCTATAAAGTGTTTCCGTTGCTGTGTAGTTGTTCAGCCAGAGGCAACAAAAGCTGCACTAATGAGATGCCAGTCTGAGTGTGGTTCACCCAACCTAGAACTTTTTTGAGCTCAAGCTGTTCCTTGGTGTCAAAGAGTAATTAGAAGACCAGGCTACCTATTTTCACCTGTTGGGATAAGAAGATAAATGTGATGAAACCTTTTATGCCAACTAATAAGTTTAAGAGAAGCAATTGCTGCAACTGCAGCATTTTTTGAGGGACAACTCCATTACGGATTTGGTTAATGTTTTTGTTTTGTTTTTTTGTTAGTTTGTTTGCCATTCAGTCAAAGGAAGTAATAGTTATGGTTTTGATCTTTCAAGCAATGATAGACCTCGCTGTGCTTCTTATCTCTTCAAGTTCTTTTTACATGTGGTTATGTGACTTGGCTCTCATGGCTACCTTCTTGCTCGCATGGACTTCTGTAATCTCTAAATACCCTTCTGTTTTGTTCCTTTCCTGGACTATGCAGGGGAATGCCAGACAGTTCCTTACGACATTTGAACGAATAACTTCAATTACATGGTCTCAGCATGTCCAGCCTCAAGTTCTATTTTTTTCTGTTTGATAAATGTAACTTGCCACCTAACATTCTCTATACTTCAACTTTATAGGAAAGTTAACTTAAAAGATTTTCCTGTATTATTTAGGACTGTAAAATTTTCACTTGATTTGCCTCCTACAGAGGATTTTAAGGTAACAAAGCTGCTACAAGCCAGATCAGTTCCACAGTTTTACAGAAACATAGCATACTAATTTGACTCAAAGGCCTAGAGAAGCAATGATTGACATAAATGTTTTTATTGTCTTTTGGAATTAAGAATAAAATTGTCAAAGTTCCTGCAGTATAGTCATGCTTGAAGGAACAAAAATACGTTGACGATATTTGGAAAAAGGAGTTTTAACCCTATAAGTTTTAAGTGATGAGTGGTTATGGCCAGTGAGCAAATCAGCGCTAGTGAGGTGATCTGAATGTCCCCTGCACTTCCACCTGTTAACTATACAGGTTTTATATTTAAATGAGATTGCTGAAATCTGATGGAGACACATATGGAAACTAGGGTCACAGTTCTTCTAGACATGTACTTGAGTTGCTCTGCTTATCAGAATAATTTCATTAGCTTTAGATGCACTATTTGTGTGTGGGAGAAATACCAACATTATGAAAAGATTTGTGTTATCAGACCCTAAATTCTTATTGTGCTTGACAAGTCTCTTCTGTAGAAGGTAATGAGAGACACGTATACAACTGTCTGTAGGCTTCTGAGCAATTCTATAGTGTCTAATATAAACTCTACATGTGTATGTTTTTATGCATGATTATTAATAACACATTCTGGAACTATAATAGATTTGTATGTGGAAGTTATTGCATTGAGTTCTTATATTAGCACAAAGATTTAGTAAGGTGCAGTAGGACAAAAGGAGAATGAAATGTGAGCATCATTATTTTACAAAATTCTGTGTGATACTGATTTAACCATTTAAAAAAATAATCTAGATTACAGCCTTGTCAAAAAGCTCTCAATCTTACCTTAGACAAAAGGAGTTCGTTTGAATACAGAATGTGTTAGCAGGGTGTTTTGTTTTAAATAATTTCTTCATGTGTATGTGTGGCCTACTTTTGAATGTGCTGAATTGTTCCTGGGATGGAAAGTTTTATCTGAAAATGAAGAGAGTAAAAAAAAGTTCATGAAAACATTTTTATTGCATTTATAATGTTTAATTGCTATCTCACTTAAAAGAAAAAATGCAACCCCTGAGTACAGTAAACATGTTTCTGAGATCAAGATCAGGTAGTCTGTGATAGATTACTTCCATTTGTATTTTAATCTACGGAAGTGTTGTGATGTTTTACAATATAATGTTTGGAAGTGAGCGGCATAATTATTGACTGAAAAATAATTGATTGATTTGGCAAAGTAATGAATTATGCTGCTTCTTATATTCAGTAGCTTGATCAAATATATAGTACCTTTTAATGTGTTATACTTTTTACTTTCTGTAGGCAGCACTCAATTTTTCTAAATACTGTGAACCAGTGGTCAGAGGAGAAGGTAAGCTTCTGTCTTTAATTTGAGCAGGTGTACGAGAGTGCAAGTGCCCTCCTGTGGGTTTTGTGGAGGACTTTGATCCTCGTTGTGTGTGACCATTTCTCTGGTCACAGCAGCATTGCTTATTCCAGTTGCACACAGTAGACAGCATGTGCAGTTGAAGCAATAGATGGCATTTGTTGGTGGTGTTTTATGGAAATCAGATGGAAATACTGTGAAAACTGGCTTTCCCCCTGTAAATCTTTCTCCTCACTCAACCACCAGGACTTCTGCAAAGTAATGAGATAAGTCGTTTTTCTGTTAAGGCTAAGCAGAGGTTCTGTCAAACTGTCCCACAGTATCAGAAGAAAGCATGGAGGATCAGCCTTGCATGGTAGCATGTGCTTGCAAATGGATGATGATGGTGCATTATCCTAGTACAACATTTCAGAGTCAAGGTGTTAGATTTGTGTCATGCCTGTGACTGTCCAGGTGTCAGAGCTTGTATTCTGTGAGTTAAATGTTTAATGGAGTTAATTCTGGCTTGGTGCAGCAAATGAACGTGACACCCGCAAACTCTGGAAAAATATTGAACCTCATCTGAAGAAGGCAATGCAGACTGTTTATCTTCGGGAAATATCCAGGTAATTTGGGGGCGACAGCTTGTTTGTTTTGTTCATGTTACTGTTTTTAACAAGCTTCCTCTCTAAGTCTTTACTCTCAATTATGTTTCACGGCTAGTGTTTCTTTTTCGCTCAATAGAATCTTTTTTCCCTTCAACGTGCATTTCTTTCTGCCATATGATGTTAGAAATAGGGTATCTCAGGAGGAAATATTTTATATGTTACAAAATTATATTTGTAGCATATAAAATATTTAATAAGTAAAGCAGTGACAGCAAGTTGTGTTCTCTTTTTCACTGATGTTTATGTAAATAGATCCATTTTTCTGTCACATGTGGAACTGCCAAGCATGGGAATCCATCACCAGTATATACAGGCAGAGTTGAAAACACATATTTAAAGCTGACTTGCAGATCCTCACTCTACTGAAGTTGCACACAGGCCTCAAAAATCTTATGAGGCATTATAGATTTTGAACATCTGTATTCCTTAGCTTTGTTTACTAAAGGTAGGTTCATGTGTTTACTGTGCTTTCTGACCTTTTGTTTTCTTGTTGAAGGGGTAAATTTTCCTTATTTGGAATTACCATTTTTGACAGCATTAAAAGCTGGTGTCCTGCTCATAGGCTGAGTTTCTCTTGGTATGGTTTTAGATTCTTTGTTTATTTCTTAATTTGCCAGACTGCTAGAAAAAAAGATGGTGCTCTTCATTTTTTAATGGTGGCAATTGGCTCAGATTTAATGTCTTCTCTATCTTTAAGACTGATGATTCTGATGTTACATCATGTAAAGAGAGATTATTCAGAAGCGTTTGATTGATTTGACTCGATACAAGCATAATGATTTCTTTCCTTTGAATGTCATTGAGGCCATGGAGTATTCTGGTAACTGAACCTGGGTGTGTAGTAGAAGTTTTTGCAAAATGTTTTGGAGAAGTGATGCTTCCTTCAAAAAGAGAATTGATTTTACTCCATATAAGCTAGACTTCACTATACGATGAGGCATTATTCTGTTTGCCTCAAATATATATTTATACTCAATATTGATCTTCGCTGCACAATCTACTTAGGATCTTCCTGACTTTTTATATTGTGTAATTGCCTTCTCTAGTTAGGGTGTAATATAAGATTATGATGTAAAATAGCTCATGAATTGTTTCCAAATAACTAGTTTTTCCCTCTTCACAGTTTTCTTTGATTATACGTTTGAGCTTTACTGGGTTTTTTATTATAAATTTCAGCTTTCTGCATAATAGTTGTAGGATTTACTTCTGTGTAACCAGTAAATGCTTGAGGAATTAAAATGACCGCATCAATTTTTCTAGCTACAAAACTGTAATTACTCTGGGCTTTTCTTCAAGTTGTAAGTTATAGCAATAGAATTTTGCTATCAGCTATTGTGCTACCTGTACTGAGATGAAAATGAAACTACCTATAAAATAAACATTAGATAAAAACTTTGCCTGTTGATAATTTGGTTGATCATTCATTATAATTGTGAGTATTACATCAGCTCTCATTAAACTGTTTTCATAAGTTTTATGGCTTATGGCTGAAAAAGGCTGTTCATAAAGATCCTTAAAAGAAAAAAGCACTGATGCTTTAACAAACCTGGGTTTTTATACCCTTGTGGTATATAAAATGATGATCTAAAATTATGACGTTTCTAACAATGTCGTTCCTTGAGGGAAGTTTTAAAGTGAAATTTTGTGCTATTGTTTAGGAAAACACCAAACTACTTGCAGATGTTTTTCAATGAGAAAATGTTCTATCTTTATGTCTTCCAAGTTTTTCGGTGACAAATGAATATTGCTTTGTTTTTTACATGGATTTCAAAATTATAAAGTAATTATAATATTGTTCTCACTAGTATAAACAGTTATTAAGCAGATTAAGAAAATCAAAACCATCAGTATTTTTACTTTTTCTCCCATTCTGCATTGTTCTTAAAACTTAGAACGCTATTGATGTTTTCTTACTGATAGCAGTTGGATAGAAAGAAATTGGTATTTTACACTTAGCTTGTACTCACTTTTATGCCTTAATATAACCTTACTTTCTGCAGTTTTTTTCAAATACACATATTTTGTACATTGTTGAAACTTACGTGCAAGGTAGTAAGACTTGGTATTTTTAATTATTCTCTTACTACCTGTATCCTAGCCAGTGTAATGAAATTAAAATATGCATATACCAAGCAGGTAGTTTTCTCCAAAAGACTAACAAATACTTGATCTTTATACATTTGCATTATCTGTCTTTTAGCTCACAGTGGGAACGCTTACAGCGTGACGATGGAGAACCTGGGCAGTTGAAAGGTATCAGATACGGTAGCTCTGTAGGGGCTTGTAGCATGAAATATGTGTTTTTCAGTTTGACTTGGTTGTCGTTATCTGAGAACTTATGAATGAAATCATGTAGACAAGGCCACCTGTTAGCATTCAGTTAAAGTTCAGGGTAATCATGTCTTTTGAGGAGGTGTTCTACAAAGGACTGTTACTATTTTTCCCCTAGCATATGTCCTCAGAGTAATCTTTCCAAAGGTACTTTGTAGGTAAAAGCAGACATTATGACAAAAAAATTCTTCTTTAGATAGTAGGTAAAATAGCCAGTTTTCACAGTTATCTTGAGGTAATTGCAATCATCAGACTGTTTCCAAGAAATGCTTTATAATCAGTATTTTGACATTGTTGACCAAAGGAGTTTGATTCAAAGTGCTCCCTCCTTCCATGCCCAGATGATCATGAAATACTTTTGCACCTGACAACCTCAAAACTAGAGACTTTATTCAAAACATATTTTTCTAAGATTTTTAGGTTTATGTAGTAGGAAAAATTGCCTTGTTGGTAAACAGTATTTGATAATAACATGCTTAAAAAGCAATCATAATAAATTAATAATAACTGTGAATATAATAACTGTGAATGTAATTAAGCAAATAGTTCAGTGCATGATGCAATGTTGACAGACCAGAAGAATGGAGTAGAAACAGATATTTCTGTATTAAATTAAATTGTCTATATATAAGAGTTTATTTGGTGTTGCATTTTGTAATTAACGTGCCAGACAAAATAGTCTCTTGATTGTAAGTGAAACTAAAACTACTGTCCTTTTATGCCTATGTGAGAGGAAGTAATTACTAGCTATCATCTAGGATGCTTCTCATCACACTGAGGGCTCTGAATCTTAGCTTTTAAACGTGTTTAATTCCTTGATCTTTATTTGCTGATATTTGTGGATTAAAGCATAAGGGTACGGGTACTTCACAGAACAAGATACCATTGAAGTGAAAACCTGTAAGGAAGGAAGGCACAAGAGACTCTTTAGTGGTCTCCATAGCTTGACAACTGATGAAGTAAGGTAGTTTGATCATCCTATTCATATGCATAAGCTGTGTAAAAGAAGGAACTATGATGACAAGAGTGGAGGAATGTAAAGGGGCAAAAATGCAAAGTAAAAGTAAAAAGAGGGAAGGAAGATACTCACTAGACTGCAGTTCGTGTATGTTTTAATATGTGCGTCTTTAATCTTAATGAAGTATACATGCAGCAGGCTAGGTAGCTGGATCAGTTTCAAAATTTTGAAAACCTTTTCTGTGGGAAATAAAACAGTGGCTAAAAACTGTGAGATGCTGAACTGTGTCTCAGAAGGGCAGCACTGCATCTTTCTCCACCATGCCAGCTTCATTCCTGACTGAGCTGTCTGACAGAGTCTGGAGCAGCCTAAAGGTTGGGTCTTGGAGAAAAGCTCTACCGTTACATTTAAACACGTCTCTTCATCTGCCCTGTTTGCCAGAAAAATTACCTTAAATGAAAGTAGCCTGGAATTTTTTAGTTTTGTTTTGTTTTAGGCAGATCAGTCCTTGGTGATTTATGAATCTCCAATGCCTCAAATACAGTTTCTCAGAGGAGTCCATAAAGAGTTCAGAATGTTAGTTTTGTTTAGCTTCATGCCATTCCTTGGCCATTCACTGATTTTGTATCTGTGATAATGGGATTGAGGAAGTAGCCGTACTCATTTAGTTACAGGAGTAGAGCAGGAGAGAAGGAAAAGAAGAATGCAAACAAGTCTAATTTCAAATTTGTGAATGTTCAGAGTGGGCTTCAGTGACTCACAAACTGTTTGTTTATTTTACAGGACTTTCTGCACATACACATGTGGAACTTCCTTATTACTCCAAATTTCTTCTAATAGCTGCTTACCTTGCCTCCTACAATCCTGTTAGGACAGATAAGAGGTTCTTTCTTAAGGTAATGAGATGTTTTTCTTGGTGCTGTTTACTGGATCAGAAGTTTTTCTGTATTGTGATTAGTAATGATTACTTAGTCATTTTTAACGTCTAATAAACCCAGCTTCCTCTTCATGTCAAAACATGTGTAACACTGTTGTAGCACATGTATTTTGTAAGCTGATACAGCTCCGTTTTGTAAAGACTTTAGTGGAGTACCTGCAGTGTCCTTAGGTATAAGCCACACTTAAATTTCCAGAGTAAGCTACAAACCATTAGCCTTTAATTAGGTAAAATGACATAATGCATTGTAACCTTATTTATTTTCAGCTTCTGAAACAGAAACATCCAAACAGTTGCTTTCGCAGAAGATGTAGTTCCATTGGCTGGCACATGTTGTATTGAAATGATGGTAATGCATGTTTTAGGATGAATGTATTAATCCTCACTACCAAATGGTGGGCTAAATCTCATTTTCTGTAAGTTCTTGCCAGGTACAGGTTGAATTTTTTTTTTTCTTCTTTTTTTTCTTTGGACTATGTTGTGGTCATGCTGCAAATAAATGCTGTGTTGCCATACTTCGTAGTCTTTCTGTCTTACCCAGGATCTTTGTGCTCCTCAAGCCTGCTTCATTGCATTGTTTTTGAGGTCTTAATTTGACAAAATGTAGGCAGGAAGACAGATACCAGAAAAGTAATAGGGCAGTTATGCTTTCTATTTTATTCATTTTATCAACTTCAAGGTTTTCTACATTGTTGCTATATGTATTAATATATGCACATGTGTATAAATGTATGGTATTCATGATAGGTGTGAACAACTGCAGAAAATGAGAACAAGACAAATGTGTAAAAAAAAAAAGTTTGTTTTCTTCTTCCCCCTTCAAAAAAAAATTGTAGATACAAGTTTTGAGAAGTTACTGTGGTTCCTAGTGATGATATACTACTACATTTTTAGTTTAAAGGAGTTTTGTGTTTCTGGTATGATCTTACATTGAAAGCTGTCGGTGTTTCACCCTTCTGTCTAGTTCTTTCCTGAGAAGAGTGGAGGATTACTCCTAGTAAGTGCAGATTGACAAGTTTTCTTTATGGACAGTCTTTGTGCTTTTCACTTAGCCAAAGCAATTTCTTTATAAGAGATTTATTTGCTGAAGAAGTGTATTTGCCCAGATTTTTTCCATATCAGTCTTGGAACTCAAAGAAACAGGAAAGCTTACAAGAGTCGAGTCAGTAAAGCGTGCTATCAAATAGTGCCACATCTTTCTTGTTCGTGTTCACTGAACAACCATCTCAATTTAATGTTTTTCCTTTCTCCTTTTCTAGTATCTCTGAAGTTAGTTTTCACTTTTGCATGTGAACCCTACCAAACTTTTGTACAATAAACATGAGCCTCTAATTCTTTTGAAGCAGGGACTGGGAAGGTATTTCAGTCAGTGATATTAAGTATTTTCAAGAATTGGTGAAGCAGGAGAAGTTAATGTTCTCGCCACACATAATCTAAGAGCAGTTTGCCCTTCATCAGGTGCTAAGACCAATTTCAGAAATAGCTGCGTCTCAAAGCCTAGCAAAACCAGCACTTCTGGGGAGTGTTCAAGTTGAGCGTTTTTATGAGTCATGTGGACTGTGAAAATAGAATATGATTTTGTCAGGTTTGTAATGAGATTTAGAGTAGTTTAAAGTATCTTCTGGAGTGATTTAACTAAGGACTGATGGACAGCAGAAGGAATGCAAACAAAAGGATGGTCGTTGAGCTGCTAATCTGCACTGCTGGTACAGGTGCTGGGCTGTACTACAACTAAAGATAAAGTCACAGCTTGAGGCAGCCTAGAATGCGAACAGCCTGATAAAGCAATGAAGTAACAATTGGCAGTGCTGCTGTTAGTTATGTGGAAATTCAAGATCTTTGTGGTAGGTTAAGTGAAAAATACGAAGTTGCTTTTGAAAGGTAGTCCTTAAGACAAGAAAGAATAGCAATCTACATTAAGTCTTCATTCTATAATTTTAATAGAAGGCAGGACTAAAAACTAACTGAAAATTAGCTCTACATTTCATGTTTCTTTGTGCTCGCACAGAAATAGGGCAACTGCTTACTTGCTTCGAAACTCTTGATATAACTTTAAATACACCATATGGAGATCCCAGCATAACCTTTAAAATGCTTGAATGCGGTTTGTTGTGATCCATCCCTAGCATGCTGTGTGATCTCAGGCTTGATCACTTTCCCCTCAAAAATGTCTCTGTTATCATGGCAGTTGTCTTTTCAAAGGCATGATAAAAACCTCAATTTGCTGTCTCTAAGTATGTGTGTGTGCTGGTTTTGGCTGGGATAGAGTTAATTTTCTTCATAGTAGCTGGTACAGGGCTGTATTTTGTATCTGTGCTGGAAACAGTGTTGGTAACACAGGGATGTTTCCCTTACTGCTGAGCATGCTTGCACAGAGTCAAGGCCTTTTCTGCCTGTCACCCCACCCCACCAGTGAGTAGGCTGGGGTGCACAAGAAGCTGGGAGGGGACACAGCTGGGACAGCTGACCCCAACTGACCACAGGGATATTCCACACCATATGACGTCATGCTCAGCAATAAAACTAGACAGGAGGTTGGTGGGGGGGCTGCTGCTTGGAGACTGGCTGGGCGTCGGTTGGTAAGTGGTGAGCAATTGTTTGCATTTGCATCACTTGTCTTTCTTGGGTTTTATTTATCTGTTTGTTATTTTCCTTTTCATTAAAAATTTGACTATTGCTTTTATTCATTATTATTTTATTTCAATTATTAAACTATTTTTATCTCAACCCATGAGTTTTCTTACTTTTACCCTTTGATTCTCTCCCTCATACTACCGGAGAGGGAGTGAGCGAGTGGCTGCGTGGTGATTAGTTGCTGGCTGGGGTTAAACCACAACAATGTGATACATGTTAATTGAATGAACTAATCTTTTTCAGTCTGGCAAATTATTTAAAGGAAATTGAAAGCCCTGTCTAATATTAAGCTTTTCAGAAATCAGTCAAGAAAAGACATAGTTACTGAGATCTTCTTGACATGGCTGAGTATTGAGGTCCACAAATACAAAGTACAAGATTTTAAATATTAAAATGAAAGAATAATTTCTTCATTTGAGATATCTTTACCGTGATTCATTGAGCATGCGAAGGTATACTTATTAATAAGGTATACTTCTCAAGGCTGTAGAAATACTCATCAGGTGAAGTTTTGAGAAATAGCACTTAATTGTGTTTAAAGAATATTATACTTGTACCCCTCTACTGGTTTTACATCATTTACACGTCATCCTTCATGTCTCTTTGTCTCTTTTTATTTTTTTGTCCATTCATTAGTAACATCTTGTTTACTATATTTCTGTCCTTGTCTTGCCCTCATGTTTTCAGTTGAGATCCAAGAGCACTTTATTTTCTTTGGACAGTCTTTCCTTTCTTAAGACTGCTTTAAAGCTGCCCCTTTTTAAATGATGTTCCTTCCCCTCCTCCTCCTCCTTTCCATTTGTCATTTAGCTCTTGCACCTTGAACTATCTTTGTATTGCATTGATTTAATTCCTGGTTGTCGTTCTGCCAACTTGTGTACCATCTGAATTCTAAACTGTAGCCGATAAAAGGTGAAAATTCAGATGGATTTTATGCATGGATACGTTTTAAAAATGAAGTAGCCATCATTTAAACTTCTCTGGAAAGAGAAAGGAATGAAACATCTATCTTTTTCATTAGATGATTTGAGGGTAGGAGGATGATGATGGCATGAAGTTATATTAAAAACGAATTTTTACTGCCTCTTCTCATCAGTCCCTGATTAGATCAGAAAAAAAATATGCCTGTCACCAAAAAAATATTAGTGTATTGCTTTTTGGCTTTGCACCACTTGCGACACAATGAAGCAAGAAGTAAGGCACGTGTAATCTTAGGGCTTCTAGCAAGAAGGATTGCTAGTGACATCAGAGACAAATACTGGAGGTGTAGTAAAGAAGCAGACCCAGACTAGTGTACTGCCATACCTAGTGCACAATTCTTTGTTGACTGTTTTGATTCTGGTTCACTGTAGAAGGACCATAAAATAATTTACACATCGTATTTGTTCTTGTCTATTGTTCACAGCATCATGGGAAAATTAGAAAGACCAACTTCATGAAGAAACACGAAAAGGTATGTATTTTATCTAAGTTCAAATTGGCAACAAATATTTTCTTTCTACTAGCTGGTTTTATATTTTGTTTTGCCTTGTTTATTGTAGAAACATCAGAATTGCATAAATAACAATTATTGGCGCATTTCATAGAATCATAGAATCATCTCATGATACAAATTTCTGTATGAAATGAAATTTAATATTTAATTTAATATGGAATTTTTATTTATTTGAAATTTATCTAAAGCATGAATTTGTATCTTAAAGTTATATTTTTGTGTATAACAAAATGTGCTTAATAAAACTAATTAAAGGACATGGAAGAACCAGATATCAGAATTTCTCTCAAAGATACTGGAGTAATAGGTAGTTAGTAGTTTTGAAAGTCAAGTCACTTTAATTCCCAGTGATGCAGTGAGATATAAGAGTTTAAGTTTGTGTGTTGAGGCTTGGAAACTTTGCACTCCTGTCTGTTTAGGATTCCATCAGACTATTAACCAACCTTTTCATGGTTATAAATAGCTAAATATGATTGATTTCAGTGGAGCTATACTAGTAGCTTATCAAGAGGCTGGATGTGCTAGGAAAAGCAAATACCTATATGCGTATTTATAATTGTAATGTAAAAAGAGAAAGAAAATACTAATATCTGTAACTTGTTGACTTAATTTTAAACGAATCCGTGGATGAAGAACAGTGCAGACAGCACTAAATCCCTGCCAAAGCGATCATTATATCCTGTTCTTCTCTATGCTATAGGCAGTGTAAATAATATCAGAGAAATTTTCATGCGATACTTAGCCTAAAAAACCTTTGCTTCTGATCCTGCCTGTAGCCTTTTCCCTAATTTTTCTCCTGCCCCTGCAGAAGGACAGAGTCCTTGGCTATCCAAAGACGTTTTTCCATAAGTTCTTTTTTTCTGGAGGGACACAATTTTGACATGTGAACGTGTAAGTGAGCATGGGTTTACTTCAACATTGCAATGTGTTGCACCATGAAGTAGGTATTTATGTAAGTTTAAGAATTTTGAAGTCTCTGAATGCATATGTCCTGTACACGTAGACCTCGTGTGTGTTTTGTCCCTGGCATGTGAACTCCTGAGAACTTCCAGAGCATTTAATTATTCTCAGGACTGATATATTCTTGAAATACCTCCACGTTTTAACTAGTTGATAAAGAATTTTCAGGAGGAGGAATAATTGTTGTATCTTAGAATAAAATACTCTTCGTTCTTTGCATCCTCTGGAGGAAAGGTGTTTTTATTTTATTCTTTCTTGGCAGTAGATTTCCAACTTGGATGATGAAACCAGAACAAGTAGGGAGATGGGAACAGCTAGGAACATAAAAGAAATAGGAAAATAGAGATTTGATGAAGAAACACCTAGGTTGTGATCACCTTAACTGTACCGTAGAGCTTGTTCTCGTGTCATTGTTTATGTTAAATGGACTTACATTTGAGTTCACTACTTACTGTTCAGAAGTGCCTGCATTTAATGATAAATTTGTTTTCATTTTGTTATTGTTCCTGCAGCAAACTAAATGCTACTGAGTAGGTAGAAAAACAGGAGGTCATACTAAGGAAAGAACTGTAAATGAGGGTAACTCAAACAAATGTAATGTAAACAAAATTAATAGTCAAAAAGATGAGGAAGATTTTTGTTACTTTTTTTACTTTATTTAGATTAATTCTAATTTTCTAGACTTTACATTTACCCTACAACCTAAGCATTGAATTGATATTCCGAAAGCATGATTAGACATGCGTGCAGTTAAAGGAGCTTGGTTTGTTTTCCAACTGTAACAAGTAACTTGTATAATGAGGAAAGACTTCTAAGACTGCAGATGAGCTAATTCTTGCACCTCTTTGGTGTATTAAAAATTAGTGTTACTTTAAGAGAATTGAAACTTCATAATCCTAGTAAATCAAATGTAGTTAACAAAACATATCTCTTGAGTTGACTGTGTTACATTAAACTCTGAGTGCAAGAAACAGGACCGTGTCTTGGGGACTAATGAATAGGATGGGAACTTTGTGGCATTTCAAGAGTACCTTTGCTCCCAGTGGTTCTTTGCTTATGTGGCACTTTATAGTTTACAGGTAAGGACCCTTTTGCTAGAAATATTGGTGCCAGAAACTGAAGCTGCTTGTAGGTCAGAGCATAATCTGGTTTTGAACGTTTTTGAGGCATGGTAGCTTTGATAGGGGGGAAACAGGAGTGAAAGCCCTATGGGGAAATTACAGACCTATGTTCCTTTTACTATACTGTATCCTTTATAAACATTTGCACAGAGCTACAATCACCCAGATGTAAACTTGCCTATTTTGGTACTATGATTTTGGAGTGATGGAAACTGAAACATGGGGATAAAGGGTTAGATATGTAGTGTTGTGAGTAAAGACTCATTTGCTTCAGTTGGTGTGATGGCTTATGTGAGTCTGCCCTCACGCAGAGGACCTTGTCTAAAGACTGATTGACAGATAGATTCACCTGATTCCAAGTGGGTGCCTGCATCTAAGCCAGTGTCTTTTTATAGACAGTGCAGAGCTGGTCAATGCAGTCATTGAAGTGTAGAGTGTGATTCATCTCTTAACTAAGGTAGGTTCTACATTTAGTCAGATGAATTGCACCATAAACTGTGTTGATTAGATTTCTGCTGGCTATAACGGGAACTTAGGAAACTAGTTTGGCTGTATGTACCTACTTGGCAGGAAGCTAACATTAGAGAAAATAAATCCTTCCTTAAAAGTTTAAGTACAGCCTGGCTAAAAAAATCTGTTTCTTGAGTCTTAACTCTGTTCAGTCCAGAGGCTGTGGGTTTTTTTATTAGAAAAAGTAAATCTTGTGAATGAGGGGAAAAAAAATGACTTTATCTTTCTATTAATTGCCTTGTTGCAGATAAGAGCAGAATTTGTTGGGTTTCTTTGCATGGTTGCCCTGGAAAAATGTTTCTCCAGTTTAGTGACTAGTGAGAGATCTTCCTGGTGAAGCTACTTTTGCAGGAGTATGCTTTTTTAGAAGATCAGATGTGTTGGTGTGATTTTTTTGTTGGAAAATAGTTTGCCTAGTATATCTGCTTCAACTTCAGTCTGCGATTTGTTTTTTATCAGAATTTCTAGTTCACAGCTGAAGATTCATTTCAATAGCAACCCGGGAAGTTCAGAAATGCTTTTTGCTAAAAGAAGTTAGAAGTATAGTTCTCTCTTTAAGTATATGCTAAAAAGGTTGAAAAATCAGCCAACTGCGATAACTTTCTCCCTTTTGTGCAGGTAATTTAGTTTGGGTTAAGGTTTTACTCTCTAAAGAACACTTTGGATTCTCACATTGTTGTTCCTGAAACTTTCGAATTTGAATATTTGGCTTGCAGTTTTGGGACAGTGAAAGACTTAGGCCAGTTAAACAGTAGAAGCATGAAACTCTGAGAATGTGGATGAAAAACAGATAGTGTCTACTGGGGAAAATCTTTTTGAACTGTTTGATGAGTATATTGCCAAAGGTGGAAAGACGGAGGACACAGAGTTAATTTGATAGCTATAAAACTTATTAAAGAGGTTTTCTAAAGGTGGAAGGCGTCTTTGTTTTGAAGGGAGATGAGGAATGCCTTGGATTTTTATAAATACTATTCTATGTAGTATTTTGCCTTAGCTCCTTGCAGAATATTTTTACAAACCTTATTTGTAAACTATGTTCTGTTTGGAGACATTTCTAAATCATTCGTCTTATTCCAGGAATTTATTTCTGCTAAAGAAATAAAACCCAAATGCTTCTTCTAGAAGTTGCACTCTATTAGAATTAATTCTTTTGGCTTTTCCAGAGGAAAGCGTTTCTCTCAAATAATTTGAAACTTCAAACCAGTGTTTTGTCTAAGCAGAGAGCTGATAATATTAAGAATAAGACACTTGTGAAGTAAGTGTATACTAAACTGAACTTCAGCGATTACTACATGCTAATTGTGCTTGCTAGCTGCTTGGAGTGTAGACGTTTTAATTACTGTATGTTTGTTGACTTTTTCTGTTGATAATAAAGAATATACTTCAGAGAACTGTCATGTTCAGAAGCAGAAGGGCAGAGGATTGCACAGTTCATAACTTGTACGATACCTGTGTTCGGACTGAGGGTGCCGTGCTAAAGTTTTGACTGCATGTTTCAAATACTCTTCACACGCTGCTTGCTTTGTTAGCCTATAGGTGGCTTTGGGGACACCTCCTGGATTTAGAAAGCTAAAACATGTCTTGGAATTCTCTCTTTGATTTGCTGAAGAAACGAGTGGTTGTGTTTTACTGAAGACTAATGCCACAGAGGTGCTGGTGGTATATTTGAGAGGTGTTCTTTCTCAGAAGCATTTTGAAACAAATTTGAAATTCCTCTTTAATCTTGACTGCTCTGCTAGTAAGAATTAATCAATGTGTGCTACAGAAAAAGGAAACTGGATGTCAGAGTAGAGAGAATGAAATACAAACTTCAAAGGAAGCAAAAGGGCCCTTGCAGTCAACACTCTTTGGGCTGCATCTTGGATACTCTGTCAAGTTTTACCTCCCTTCAGTGCAAGACACACATCAATAAACCAGAGCGAGTTCAGCAGAGACACATCAAAATGGTCAGGGGCTGGAGCGCTTGCCCTGCAAGGAGAGGCTGAGGGAGCTGCAGTTGTTCAAGCTGGAGAAGGGAGGCCTAAATGCAGCCTGTCCTGCACCTGCAAGGAGATCATCAAGACTACGCGATACAATGGTAGATGGTGAGAGCGTGAGAAACAATGAGTGTAAGCTGGAATGAGGTGTTTGTACTGGTATAAGGAAAACCTTTTTACTTACGAAGACAGCCAGGCAGTGACACTGGTTTCCCAGAGAGGTGGTGCGGTCTTTTGTCCTTGGAGGTTTCCAAGACTGGACTGGTAAAGTTCTGAGCAAACTGGCCTGACCTTCTTGCTGACCCTGTTCTGAGCAGGAGAGGTTTGACTAGAGACCTCCCGAGGTCCCTTCCAGCTAGAATTTTCCTATGATTGAGTGTATTTTAAGAAAGTAGAAATATAGTAGTAAAGGTGTTTCCTACATAAAACAATAAGTTAAAGTGTTCTCATTTCTAATTTCCTGATGATAAATGTTTTCTTTGGTTTTGATATCAAAATGGTAACATTTTCACTGTGGTATAAAGGAAGCAAAAGAGAATATGAAAACTAAAAAGTTAAAATCAGCTGAAAATATAAATAACAATTTTGTTGGAAAAAATGAGCAGTTAATACATTTTATTCTTCCAAGGATAGCTGATTGATTTTTTTTTTCTTTTTTTTTTTTTTAAGTTAGGTTTTAGAAAGTGTAATTCACAGAAGAGCTGAGGTGGGCAAGGACCTCTGGTCTAGTCCAATTCCTTCTGCTCAGGCAGGGTCACCTAGAGCAGGTTGCTCAGGACTGTGCCCAGTTGAGTTTTGAATGTCTCCAGGGTTGGAGACTCCACAGCCTGCCTAGACGATAAGTTGCAGTATTTAACCACCTCAAGGGTAAAAAAGTGGTTTTTTCCTCATGTTTAAATATAGTTTCCTGAATTCCAGTTTGTCCCCATTGCCTCTTATCCTTTCACTGGATACTGCTGAGAAGTCTGCCCCAGTTGTCTTTACATTCCCCATCAATTATTTTGATGAAATCCCCCTGAGCTGTCTTTTTCTCAAGGTTAAACAATCCTAGTACTCTCAGCATCTCCTTGTATGACAGGTGCTCCAATCCCTTAATCATCTTCATGGTCCTGTTCAGTTTTCAGGTTAAGATGGGTAAATGTAGATGTCTGAGTGCAGTGGCCAGCAAAGCTCCTGCACTGTTCAGAAGGGACCCTCTTGGGCTACTTAGAGAGTATGATTTGCTGACGAGACCCTGAGCATCTACCAGCTGGTTCTTCTGGCTCCCATGACTAGGTATCTGTAGAGTGTAATGGGAGTGCATTATTGTGCTGACAGTTTCTGAATCCATTGATTTAGTTTAGTATGGCATTTAAGATAAGAAACCCGTGTGACTTTGCAGCTGTCGCCTCTGTGAGAGGAAGAGACACTGCTTTGGCTAAAGTGATTCAAAGAAAATGGAGACATTGATACTTTAGCAGAATCTTCTCAGACTTTTTCAAAATATAAATACTAGTAAAGTATTTGTCTTCAGTATGCAAAACAGAAAAATATACCTAAAAGTTGTTCAATGGTTTTATGGATTTGTAAAAACTTTTTTTGTTTTGTGCAGTTCTTTGTAAGTGATTGTGGATTGTAGACAATAGGATAAATCTAAACTTTTAATTTTTTTTTCACTATCCAGAAATCCTTTAAGAAGCCTAACATGTCTTACTATTGATAAACTGTAAAGAAAACTATTTGCACCTCGAGAATGCCATAAAATGTAGTTTTTCCTCTTTAATCCTTAGTTTGGGCAAGGTGACTTAATAGGACAAGTAAATCTATAAATCCACTGATAGGAAATTTGGCATCAAATCCTCTATTATAGCTCAAAAATGTTCCTATTTATTGTGCAGTTTGAGCTCTTGCCATGTTAAATAGAGCTCTAGGTCTATATCTTTATCTTGATCACTAAGCCTGTATTCAAGGTTTTCCATAATATACAAGTAGGCTATATGAAAGTCTACTGTGAATTATAGTGTCTCCTCAGAGACTAAGAAGATGTGAGAACAACATATTGTGGTACTCCAGGAAAGATCTATCAGATTGAAAAATCTTGTTTCTGTTGCAGACCAGCAATCACCTCCTTGGGCCAAAGCCGTTTCCCCTGGACAGGTTGTTAGCAATATTATACAGTATTGTGGACAACAGAGTTGCTCCAACTGCAAATATCTTTTCCCAGGTGAGTGTGTACTTATTTTCTTTGTTTCCTTTTTACTATCTGGAGTTTTTGAAAAGGTTTTACTTTGGGTTTTGTAAGTCATCATTCTAATGAAGTGTAATGAGAAAACAACCACAACAGTAATTTAAGCTGAAGGCTCAGAGTAATATTTATCTGTATTAGTAGCTATGAATTTGAGATTTTATCTGTGTAATGGTCTGAAACCTTCTAATAGCTAACTTTTTCCTGATCTGGGACTGTCATCTGTGTTAATTAGTTCCTTGGCTTCTGATTAAGGCCTGTTAGCCTGCGTGCATTTGAAATTAAGCGTATAGATGTTCACTGTCGTGGCCAAAATTAGTCACCTTGTAGTGCATGTTACAGAAACGTGGTGAAGGAGGAGCAGAGGGAAGAATAAGGTGCTTGCAAGTGAAAGGTGTTTGCTGTGATACTTGTATCTTAGAGATAATGTTTTTCTTTTGGACCAACTTTAATAGCCTTGCAGGGAAGAGTCGGTGTTTCGTTTCACTAGATGGCAGCATAGCTATAGAGTTGAGTGGAATTAAATAAATCTAGTTTTCTCTAGAGCTCTGGGTTTGTCAAGTGTAAATAGGTACCTATTCTGTGTAAATAAAGATAGTTTTCTGTTGTCAACTTGATTTTTAGATCTTCCATGTCCACCTTAGAATATCTTAATTTCTCTCCCGCTTTCCAGTTGTGCTTAACTTTTACTTATAGAAATATTTTCTACGTTTCCTTGTTAGGTCTCAAATTTAACCAAGGATTATTTAAATCTGTTGTCTGCAGTCCTGTAAAGTTCTAGGAAACATATGCTCAAGATACCTAAACAATTTTGCTGCTTTAATCATTGCTGTTCAGTGTTCACACAAATGTTTGTCAAAATTATTCTCCCAAGTTTGTAGAATAACCAACCATAAGTATACATTTTGGAAAATCAGGCAATAGAAGAGCTAGAGATTTTGATACTTTATTTAAATAATCAATATGTGAATATCTTTGTCAATAGTGGTGGGGACCCAAGTGCTTTACAGATGCAGTAGGCAACTTACACCTTCACATAATGTTTTCATAGAATCGTTAGGGCTGGAAGGGACC